TGAGAAAGAGGCCGGATTGAAGGAAGGCCAGGGTCTGCTTCATTACGCCGCCCTGAAAATGGTGGACACCGAGGACGATATGCTCATGCACATGACCCTACTCCAATCCTACAGCACACTTATCACCACGGTCAAGACAAAACCCCATCTCTCACACTACGACTCAAGTCTCGCTCTTGACTTTCTGAAAGAAGAAGGCGTACACAAAGGCATCGTCGACTTCCATACCTCTGAGAACCCCAGTCTCGACCATTCTTTCTTAAGCAGCCGAACAGCACAATACATCAGCGATTACGCATCGCACTACCCCGAGAACTTTGAGAAAAGCGAGGAAATGCCCGTCATTAGAAACTACGTCCACCGCAACATCCGCAAGTGCGAAGCCAGCAACCTCAACATCATCGCCTCAATGCCCCGCTCAACACTCATACCGCGCCGCGCTTCAGGTCTAGCTTGGGACGACTGCGTCATCATCGACATGCCCATCACACGCACAAATCAAGACGCGCTGAAAACCCTCGCTGCCATCTTCCACGGCCCGCCGAAAGAGGAAATCACCTTCCCGCAAACTGAAGCTATAGGCGAGGATACGAAGCGCAGGGAGACGGAAGCAGCGTATGCGAGGATACTCACTGCGCTCTTCTATAGCAAGAAACCCAACATGTTTGCTGATATAACAAATCACATGGAGACTATTGCTATGCAGGAGAATGCGCTGGCCGCTCTGACGCTTGTCGGCGCTCTCATCACGTCTTCATGGTCTACCGCTGCTCTCCCTGATATCCCGCCAACAGACCCAACATATGCTCGTCTAAACGCCTTTCCCAAATCCGGTGTCGACGTCATCTTGGACCCTACGATAAGTGGGGGTGTCCTTCCTTCACTGCTTAAGCCGGCAACGACTTTTTCGAACCTTGTTGGTGGCAGGGGTGATGCGGAGAATGCGGCGTATATCGTTGCGACGGCTAAGTTTGAGGTGCTGAAGACGCTGGGCAGGAAGTTGGAGGAGGTGGGGGGTAGGCAGGATGTTTTGGCTATGGTGAGGAGGAGGGTAGGCGATGGGGTTTGGGGGGATAGTGGGAATGTGGGGAGTAGGATTGGGACGTTGGAGATGTAAGATCGGTTTGCGTGTACTGTAGGTACACATAGCAACTGAATATTAGACGATAGTCTTAAAGGTCTAATGGTTACATTCGATAAGTTGATAACCTCCAAGACACAAAAAAGAAGTGTGCCGACTCGAAGCGGAGCAATGTCCATCTTCCCTTCGCCTCTCTTCCTCGCTTTCATTCTCGTTACTGTACGTACCAACAATTGGCAAAAAAAGAACCTGGGGTATCTGACTGAAGCCAGACGAATGCTGATGAGAGTGGGACTCGAACCCACGCCACTTTCGTGACCAGGAATATGTGTTAAGATAACCTTAACCTGGCGCCATAACCAACTCGGCCATCTCACCGAACCATGTGATTGGTTGGTTGCTTGATGAGAAGTTGGAAAGTTAAGATCAATATATAATCAGCGGTGTTTTGGAAGCTGTCAAGATTTTTGGGAGTTTGCCGTGATTTGAGGTTTGTTGGTGTTGGGCGGAGATGCGGGACGTGATGTGAGAGAAATTTTTAGGTGGGGTAGGTCTACGAAGAAAGCGACGAGCTACGGCGAGATGGTGGGGACAAGACTGATCGCGAAAAAGCTTACGATACAGTCGCACTATCAGTCAATACGAATCGTAGCGATCTATTCGGGAAGAACAATCCTTGAATTGGCGCAGTTTTTCCAAGTTTGCTTCGAAAGCAAGTCTAGTCAAGTCGAGGAGACGCATTGCTCCTCTCGTCTTCAGCAAAAGGCACTTAGAGTTATTTGGAACCAGGCTTTTTTTTTGAGACTCTTTGTATTAACAATGGCAACAAGACTAACTAGGTAGAGACTGGCTATAGTTGGGTGCAGATGCGCGGAAATTCAAAGTTGTGTTTTTTTGAGAGGGTTTTCTTTCTTTCTTAGGGAAAACATGATAACAAGGCGAGACATTTCTTGTACACTTTAGGTTCTGTTGATCACCTTACTCCGGGAAAACCCAAGAGGAGGCTACTGATCTGGCAGGCGATCTCAACTAGAAGGCCAAGTTGAAGGGCAATAGGGGATCTAGCCAATGCCAAGTCGAACAGCATGGAGTCCATAGAACAGCGGACGAGATCGGAAGGTGGGAACTACGGTTCTCTCATACCCTGAAACGAAGTCCCAGAATACAGTGTGGCACGAAGTATTGGCGGGGGGTGTACGGAAGTTAGGTATCACTTCGTCTTCATGCCCTGAAACGAAGTTCCAAAGTGCAGTGCTGCGCGAAGTGTTGGCAGGAGGAGTACGGAAGTTAGGTATTACTTCGTCCTCGTGGCTCCAAGGATCGGGGGCCATACTGGCGAAAGAGAATGCAGAGGTGCGGAACTTGGATTTTATATGTTCCTTACAGCGCATCCATACGTTGTGGGTGCCGGAATTCGACCATGAAAGGATTGATTTAACCAAATCTGAGTTCAAAGGCCGATCGACGGCAGGGAAGTCGTTGGAAATGCTACCAGCGACACGGAAGAGCTCGAGAAGGTCATATAATCGGCTGTGGATGTCTCCACATATCGTGACGGGCGTTCTTAGGGAAGCATGTGCAAGCTGGCATGCTAACTGAGAATAGCCCATGGAATCGGGTTCAACAGCATCAAACAACCAAAAGACCCTGGGAATGTCCGAGAGGCTCCAGCGAACTAGTTCTAACCAAAGTTCCGCTGGTTCCATAGATTCTCGATCGACGCACAAAGAATCTGTCCAGAAAGTGCGTGATGATGTCCATAACTTGTTTTTGGAGACCTCCATGGAATTACAGGGACTCCTGTGTACTCTTCTAGTTCTATCACTGTCCATAGTGTAATGCTGATCGTCCTCTTCAGCTCCCCATTCATGGGATAGATACACATACGTCGAAGTGACAGTTCCATGCGATTGCTGGCGCTGGATGAGATCAAAGTCGAGTAGAATGCGTAGGCAACCGAGCGACCAAATGGAGCTTGTAGAGTGGTCAGGAGGCTCATAATGAATCCGCGATAGATGAGCGGTGGCCAAATTCAAAAGGGACCGGGAAGACTGCCAGTTAAAGTAGGATTCGAGGAGATCCTGCCACGCACAACGAGAATCACCAAGCTCTGGAGACCTCAAGCCAGGCATATAAAGGTCATCTATGCTTGATCCTGTAGTGCTTGCGCATGTTGTCTTTTCTTGGGTACGCCTTTCCGCAACCAGGTTCGGGGCACCGGAAGCGATTTCGGTTTTCGAGTGACTGATGACTTTGGCGATGTCTTTCCAGATCTGCACGGAGACCGAAGGCTTTGGAACAACCCGAGTACGTACAGCGATGACTTCTTTCATGCTTTCGACGGACGTGATTACTGAGAATGCAATGATTAGCTTGGTAGTCATATTGCGTTCTGCGTTTGATACTTACTTTCGGTCGCAAACTCGATCAAAGATAATGCCGCAGTGGCCACATGTAATGGATCCATTTTGTATACGTTGATCATCAACAGGTGTTGCAAAGCGTGAGAGTTGTCCAGCGATGGCCTGATGTGCGCTAGGACTGGCGTATCGGGTGGATGGCACCAATTCGCCCGGCTCGGTGTCAGCGGTGCCGTCGTTCGAAGGTGGCGTCCAAGTGCCTGTGACAGGCGTGTTTTCAGAACTGATGGAGTGTTGTCGAAGTGGTGCTGTGTCGATGCCTGTTTCGTTTGAAAGCGTGGCAGGAGATGAAACGAGGCTGTGATCTGTGGGATCAACTGTAGGCCGAAAGTCGGAAGATTCTTCCAAGACCTGGTCTGATTGCGCTTCAACTGATTGTTCGTCCAACTCCGCTAGAGAGGGTTGAGGAGGATATGCCTGAGCGGAGATGACTTCAGGCTCGTTAGTTGGTTCCGTGATGGCGATTGGCTCGCGCGACGGTGTGGTCTTAGGCAGTCGTTTTGCATGAATGAAGGGATTGATGTCGTATTCGACTTCGTAAGGGGAAACAAAGAGTCTGAATTTCGATAATTGACAAGAGAATGTTGGGTTTGGTGGGATAAGGAAGGCGGGCGGCGAGGACTATTGGTCCTCGCCGGACGACTTGAAATGATAGTGAGATTGAGAGTAATAGGATTGCGATCCTGGACTGAAGAAAAGTACTGATGTGCGAGTAATAGCGGAGTTGGGGGCTTGGGGTGACGATTGACGGACGGTTCGCAGGGTCCCCAGCACCAAACGCCTGATGGCGTGGCGATGGGGCTTGAGGGTTGTGGGAGGCTTTAGTAGTATGAATCAGTTTGAGATGATATACCTCTAACAAGAGTTTGTAGAATCGTGCCGCAACGAACAGTGACGGCAGGAAAAGCACTGGCTCTTAACCGACCTCGAACATTTGGAGGCGTACCATGCCTGAGGCTGAGAATCGCTATGCGGGCGCAGTGAGGCAGTGGTCAGCCACTTTCGAGCTGTAGCGTAAATTGTGAGCGCGTAAGTGACATATGCTGATCCAATGGCATTGTCATATCAGACTCAGCCTTGTTGTACGCCTCCGTTTTCGCGGCAAGAGAGTAGTTTGGAGGACGTAGGCTGAGCGGGACGGGAGTTGAGGTGTCTGTGCTTTCGCGGCCCTTGTCCGCTTTGAGACTAAATCTGCCAGTCGACAATTAGACAGGCATGCGCTCATGCAACTCCAATCATCTCTCGCCATCTCGCAACATCTCCGCACGGTGGCTTTTGGACTGAGCATCCTCTGGTGACGATGCAGCTGCCACAACTGCCACCCGTATCCGAACTCACCGGTACGGCACGCCACAAGTACGAACGAGGCTGAACACAGTAAGCGCGCATCCAAAAAGATCTCTTTCCGATGCGGATACACGAGTTTTGGTCTACAAAACATTATCATGATTCAATTCTATCACTATCGGCCATCTCATCGAGATCATTACTTCAACGCTCTACTTCCTCGCGGCACCGGTACCCTCTGGCCAGAACTCATCCAGCCACTCATATGGGTCTTCAGGAGTGTATTGGTTCAAGATCTCGCCCTCGTAGTCGGTAAGGTGGTCGCGGGTAAGGTTGTACAGCGCGTACTTCTCATCAGGGCCTGTACCGACAGTGTATGGGACGGTCTGAACGTTGTTTCCAATCTCCTTGTCAACCCAGCGCTCGACGTCAGCGACTTGTGCGTCCTTGATGCGGTACTCATCGCCGTAGTTGGGTGAAATCTGGAAATGCGTTAGTCATGCGACATCTGAAGAGAAGGAATTATGGATTCTTACTATGCCCATGCGGGTACCGTTGATGGCAATGACGTTCTGGATGGTGACGTTGCGCTTCGCTTGGTTCAAGCAGTTGCCACACGATTGGTAGAAGGTACCGAAGGTCTCGGCGAAGAAACCGGTAATGTTGACCTTTCCACCTAGCGAGTTGTCCTGGAAGATCTTGTCGGTTGCGCTTCGCGCACCGCCTCCGATTACGCGGAGCTGGGTGTTGAGACCCTTGGAAGTAAGGGCATCTTCGCAAACGTCCTCCCACCAGACTGTCGTAGGATCGTCAGTATGCCTGTGCGATTAATCCAGATTTATGGAACATACCATTCTCGACCCATGCATCGCCTAGCGCGTGGATACCCTCGCTCTGGTGCTTGCCAATGACTACGTTCCTAATTGTGGCTCCGGGCAAGAGGTTGAATACAGCATCGGCATCAGTTCCTTCTGCCTGCTCGTTGCATGACCCTTCTTCACGCTCATATCGCTTCATCTGTCCATCGAAGACCTGACCAGGACCGATGTACATGGTCTCATTGAGAACGACAGTCTCAGTCGGTACCGGAAACTTGGTAACCGGGAATGGGAATCGTGGAAGAGGTCGCGCGCCGAGGTCGCCCTGGGTTGAGTCTGCGCCCCCTTGTGGTCCATCGCCGTTTTGACGACGGATCACTGCCGCGGTTGAGAGGGCAGGCAGAAGAGGGAGGATGACAGAGGTAGAGAGCTTCATCTTGACGACTGGATCTTGATTGTGAGAGGAATTGAACTCTTGTGACCGAGACTCTGGGTCAATTGAGGACTGCGGAGGTGCAGGAGAGGTACTTTACAACACATGCAGCTGCCCTAGCTTTTATATCTCCCACACCACTTTCTCGCCCAGCTCTCCGTCCGTCCAGAAGTCTCATCACGCACACTTTCCACACGCGATCCCGCGCGAAATCCTGCTACCGTCTCTTTTGATATGCTCGTGTAGGTGCACAGGGGCATAGCTTTCCCAAAGCTACCCCAGCATCTGCGCCCCCAAGCCAGCGGAAGAAATGTCATCCATGTACTTTCCGCGAGTGACGATGCGAGGACGGTGGTGTAACAGACTTGGCGCATCTTTAACCGATGAATCCCCAGACTATGAGATGCGTCGCCAAGTGAACGCCTCGCGTTGGTCACAATCGGCGGCATTTCTCCACGAATAACCCCGCGACTTGGCGGCTTGTTTTCGCCAACCCCGACTTTCCTCCCCCGCGTATCTTGGGTTTCTTAGCCTGTGCCTGCGGGGGACAAGGGTCTAATTTTCCTGCGCCCTGAGCGGTCATGCGGTTGTGGTGGCTTGAGGTACGGGGTAGGTTTACCGCGGCCGCGCTTCGAGATTTCTCATCTTCATGTTGCGCAGACACTCCCGCACCATGGACTGAAGGAAAAGGAAACGAATCTCTGCCGGCGAATGATTGTCGATGTACAAGTGAAGTATCTATTCGAAGCATTGACTGACGAGGTGGCACAAACAATGCCACAACTATGATCATGTTGGCAAAGTGGTGACACAGTCATCCTCTCACAATTCCAACAGCGACGGCACGGTTTTCACACTATCGACACTCCAAGATCACAATGGGGTCACAATATCTAGTTGGACAGCTGGAGTATGTGTGGCGACCAAAACCATGCATTCCACCAATGGAGCGACAAGACCTGAGTATCGCCTAGGTTGGCGAAGATACAAAGAAGGAAGCACCCTCAACCCCAGTTCTCAGTCATCTCCCGCAATCCCTTCTCAAGACTATCCCATTTTGATCCCGGTCCTTTCAACCAGCTCATTACCTCCTCAGCCCTGGCGTTTGGCAAGCTCATTCGATCAACACCCATGCCCTCAATGTTATCCGGAAATTTCCTCTCGGGGTAAAGCTTACGCCATATGTCCATCATCTTGTTGTAGCTCCACGGCTCTGCGAAACCGAAGAGACGCTCCGTCTTCACATCGCTATGGATCAGTGCGGAGATGTGTAACAGCGCATCGTCGACAGGATGAATGTACCACTGTGGTCCAACAGAAGTTGTCCATCTCTCTGATTGTATACCTTTCCAAGCATCGTGGGCCCATTCGATGGTTGAAGGAAAGCCTTGGTGCTCAGGGATCAAGACAGCACCGAAGTTTGCGTTTGGCAACTTTTTCAATGTTAGCACCACTCTTTCTAGTAGGTGAGAGATTCTGCTTACGACACGGTTGAGTACGAAATTGGGTTGATTCTCTTCCATCCATCTCATTATCGCCTTCTCAGTTTCCGTCTTCATGGCTGCGTAAACGAACAATCCTGGTTTGCCCGGTTCTTTCTCCAAGATCTCCAATGCTTCGTCGTTGTAGGTATTTTCGTCGATTGAGAACTCAACGTTGGGGTGGGGAAACGTCGCAGCAAGGGAAGATGATGTAAAGACGAAGCTTTTGCACGAAGGGACCTTTGCGCAAGCCTTGAGTGCATTCAGGCCTGCGTTAGTGGCAAGCGCAATCGCTTCGTGGACGTCTGAGATGCCTCCGATGGGTGATGCGACGTGGATGAATCCTTCGATACCTAGAGATCAAGACAGCTTAGCTTTGCTGGGCGTATCAGGAGCGAGCCTAATTTCAACATACCATCGACAACCTTGTCGTAGCATCCCTCGGCTGTCATATCCGGCACATCGACCAGCTCGAACTTTGCTTCTTTGTACTTATCGTTGAAGTACTCGATCAGATATCCGTGTTTCTGGACTTGTCTGACCGCACCGCGAACATTGTATCCTCGCTTCAGCAGCTGATCGACAATATGGCTTCCAATAAGCCCATTGACACCCGTCACGAAGACAGTAGCACCAGGCTTGATGACGACTGTAGGCATAGCGTCAAGTGGGCCGAGAGGAGGGGTAACTTGAATGAGGTAAGCAAAAAAGGGGTTGGAAATCCGAATTCTCCAAACACTACTCAAAACCTGCTTGTTGGTCTCACGATGTAGGCAGATTCAAGAGGAGAAAAGAGAAAGAGAAGATAACAGTCGCAAGGCAGGAAAACAGATTAAATACAACGTGGTGACTGGCTGCCTGAAGTTACACAGCCTAGCTATGTTTGGGAAGGCGGGGTCGATGCAGCACGCAGTATTAACCGAATACCAGTAGCACATTCTATGGGTTTCTCTTTCCATCTTGATCGAGAGTTTGGAGGAATTCGCGATTCTGAAGCTGCGTGGACTTGAGTCCTACGGTTCAGCTTTGACAACCTTCAAGCTAAGCAGCGCCGGTTGCGAAGAGATTGGAAGTCGGTGATGGTGTGATCACAGCATGCGAGAAAGACGAGATCGGGAGATGAAGCAAACAAACATGTCGTTTTGCATCGGTATACTCTGGACATAAAGCAAAGAAGCAAACAGGTAAGCAAGCGGATATACACGTAGTGTAGCTGGAAAAGTACAAGAAGACGCCGAAACGCCTCGCTTAGCGGACACAGAGAGTCCAATATATACCTTTCCGAACATCCAGATACGTGTATAACTTCTTTTTCCATCGAAGACGTAGCACTTTCTAACGGTGTTGTCGCATACCATATGAAGTCCTCGCGCCCATCAAGCACCCTTGCTCTGGGTGTTTTGAGGAGTCAAGTTCTCGAACTTTCCAACTAAGGACTTGATGCTATCACTAGTCTTCCGCATACGAGTAGCGGTTCCCATAGACTGGCTGGGAGACGTCGCTGTGAGAACTGAACGGACAGGTGCGGTGGCATGTTCCTTTCGCCATGGAGTAGATGGGGACCATGGCTGCGTCGCGGACGCGGACACGCTTCGCTCATCACCGATCGCGGTGGTTGTACCAGAAACGAACGTGTTCATCGAGACAGCCCTTGATCTTCTTTGCTCTGCTAGAAGCAATCGCTGATATTCAGATTCCACCTGGATGTCCCTGCCGTCGTCGATGTCGTTAATCTCTTTGATCTCTTCCATGTGGAAGGGCTTGCAGCTGTCAGTGGTGTCGGCGGTCTCTTGAGCCTCCTCAATCGCCTCGATCTCCTGAGGTTCCTTAGCCTCCATGATTGCCTTGAAGACTTTGGTATCTTTGATGTCCTTGACTTGCGGAGTCTCAATCTCGCTTGAACCTTTGGCTGCCTCGACCTTGCTAGGTTCTTGCATGTCCATGAGCTCCTTATAGATCTTAGTGTCCTTGATGTCATCGATCCCTGTAGTAGGAACCTCGCTAGTTGCCGCCCAGTCCTTGGTCTCAATCTTTGGATCAGCTGGATGCTCGTAAGCGAGAGGCTCCAGATACTCGTCACTGGCGGCTAACGCAAGCTCATCGAGAGACTGGTGCGGAACATCCGTGTCGTGCAATGTCGCGATCGAAGGCGATATGCGTGGTGTCGGATGTCCGTCAGCAACAGCTATCGAGCCTGTCTCGGATAAGGCGCCGTCGTTAGGCTCTTGCTCCATAGCCGAATCCTCAGCAGACCTGCCATCGCTGACAACTGTATCGGTCTCATCCGGCTCTAGCCTCCTTTCGCTATGCATGAAGCTCCTCGTACTTCCTACGAGCGTATCTCCATCGCCCTGTCAGTTGAAGCAACTTGTCAGCCTAAACCCTCCATTCAATCCTCGATCATTGACTTACCTCTGGCACGAAGATCCTGCCCCTGATCGTCTTCATCATCCCCACCTTGCCCAGCAGACTCGGGCAAGCAACCTCAATCTTCTCAGTCTTGACCTCTCCAGTTCCACCCACATACTGAATCAGCGCCCTTTCCTCCTCCAAACACAAGGCCTCGAAAATCACTCCTTTGACAACTTCTGTGCCGCACCACTCGCCCAAATTGCGGGCATCGAATGCTAGTGTGCTAGCCCCGTGGCCTGAACGGACGGAGCGACGATAACCTTCAATACGCGCTTTGCGGAGCTTGGGTGTGCGTGAGAGGGAGAGCGCGGTCTGAAAGGGTAATTTGTAGTGTTAGCGAGGATAGTGAGTTGTGAGGTGTATGAGAATGAAGAGTTGTCCCGAACAATTCAAAGGATATTGAATGTGGTGGCGTACACCTCACAACGGCAAACGCTGTTGCTAGAACTCCTCCATACATGCCAACAAGCAAATGCAGTAATAGAAACAGAACTCACCTTGAGAGTCTTAGCGTCGGTAACGCCATCGCAGAGAAAATACGCTGTGGGGTAAGGTGGGGAAGGCGATACGTCAATCTCAAGTTGCGAAGTCATCGCGTCGTTATAATGAATCCTAAGAGGCGGAAGCTCCGAGAGCGGTTGCGGTAGCGGTTGAGAGTGAGAGGAGCACGGCAGCCGTTTTGCGGGCAGAAAAAAGCCGAATAAGAGGAAAGAGCCAAATAGAGGCGAACATGGTGAAGGCCGAGCCTGGACTCGTTGTCGCGGCGGTTGAGTGGTGAGAAGTGAAAAGGCATCTGTTTGTTGTTGTTGTTGCGTGCGTTTGCGTTACGCTGTCTGCTGTGTTGACAGATGAAGACGCCCGATAACGCGCCTTCCAGAAATGACAGGAATGGAAAGAGCAGCTGCAACATAGATACCCATCTCACTTTCCCTCCTCTTCACATCCTTACATTACATCACCTTCACAATACACAACTCACACAAGCAGACAGACCAAGAAACCAAAGCGAAGTGACGAAGCAGGAAACACCATTCATAATATCCTACAAAGTATGCACTTGACGGTAAGAAACCTCGCATTGAGCGCCTCATCCACCCAGTACAAAGTATTCGCCTCGCAATGCTTATTCTACAAGAAATGCGCGACAGCAATGAACATGACTAGTAACGCAGCATCCCCATGAATGGTATAGCAATACCCCCAAGTGACGATTCCGAAGAACTCCGTGCTTTTGTATCATGGACCAGAAATAGAAAACGATACCAAAAACCGCGAACGTCATCTTCTGCGTTCCCATGCTCATCTCGGATCCCTTCCACATACGTGTCATTAACCCCCTTGTTTTTTTTGCCGGCCAGCCCAATAGGAGTCGTGATACCCGTAAGCAGGTTGAGAAGTAACCCGAATGCCCACATAGGAAAAAGGGAAGAAGAAGATCAACTACTTAAGTCTTCCTCAAAAACAACGGAGGAAGGTTATTAGTACCCATCAAATACACTCTGCTGCAAAACTCCGAGTTCCTACCACCAGCCGCCTAAGCCAGCGGACGCGGACTCGCCTGCGCATGCGTAAACAGTGCATTAAGCAACCGCTCAACCTTCAAAAGAAGAAGACGAGTCAGTATGGTTGGACAGCAAAGCAAGTAGAAGATTACGTACTTCAGGAGCTGCTTTGACAAACGGCAAGTCCCAGAACGTGTAGGTTGGGTTCTTCAAGATCTCCAACAGCGTGATAATGAGTCCCCAGGGATGTGGGCGGTGGACTAGCAGGCGCTCTAATAACACGCGGGTAATGGTCTCTTGGATCTCCAATGCGAGCGAATCGTCGTTAGGGGGTCCGAAGAGGTGGAGCAGCGTGTAGCTGTAGAAATGAGTATGCGTGTTCGGGAAGCGGAGCTGGTTCGCGATGGCGCTGATGAAGTGGAACCTGGCCTCCGGGTGGAAGTCTTTGACAAGCCTCTCGATGACCTTGGTAGCTGGGCTCTCTGCATCAAAGATCGGAACGCTAGCGGGACCGGTCCCCAGAGTCGCGATGCCAATGTACAGAGTAATTGCATGTATCAACGTTGGGTTCGCTGTCGTGGAGACGAGCTCAAACGCTGCTGATTGAGCCTCTGCGTAGTAGACTGCTTGGCACACCTTGTCAACGTCCTTGTTCTTCAACTCTGAGCCCTTTAGGAGGTTGTCTATAGCATCCTTGATACCTGCATCTGAAAGCACCTGCGCGATGTCGGCACGGATGACCGGTGCTTGAAGGTCATGCTCTAGTCGATCGGCTTTAAGTCCAGCTGTGAACGGGTCTGGCATTTCGAGGATGGTGGAAGGGTAGGCGCTGACAATGAGATTGCGGAGTTGTGTGCAGTGCATGGGAATACTGTTGCAAAACCGGAAGTGGTTCTCGACCAGGAACTCAGGGAAGTCGTGGTGTATCACTAGCAGAACTCGCAGGACACCGCGGTAGAACTGTTCAGCCATGACCGTCTCTCCTGTAGGCTTGATGAGCTTGCCCGTGAAGATCAAGAGCGTCTCGATAAGCTGAGCGTAGACGTCCCATCGCTTGTCTCCTTGGCCCTCTTCTAGCATAGCAGGTACGAAGATACGGTGAGCAACTAGTGCCAGCCACGAGAATGTGAATCGCTGGAGGTGCGAGGGTTGGAGAACCAACAAAGCCCTGGCTACAGCAAGGAAGACGTCAGCCTTCTGGTCAGCTAGAGCCTCTTTCTTTACCGCGTCGTTCAGGTGGAAAAGGATGGCAGAGAACAACCTGAAGAAGACCTTCTGGTTGAAGGCATCGCCTCGTGTGCTGTGATGGTTGCAGAGAACGAGCACGACAACGACGAGTATCTGATCCAGATACCTAGCCTTGCTTTCCTTGACGGCTCCGTCTTGCTCGCCTTGGTAAACGACAAGGTCCACCACTAGTCGGCCAAGTGCATCGATCTTGACGGTCGCAATGTCTTCATTACCGTTACCAAACGGTGCGGAATGTTCCTGTTCGTATGCGGCTACTGAAGAGTCGATGCAGGTGCGAATGAATGCAACAGATGATTCCTGAGTTTCCATCACCTTCTGCTGGTGGAGCTGGTAGATGAATGCGCCAACTGTCTTCTTTGGCATGCTTTCCATTTGGAGATGCACCCACTCATCGAAGACATATTCAAGTTGATCCTTGTGTCCGGATCCTGGTGGCGTAAGCATCGGCTCGTTGGATGGTACCTGAAGGTTGCCGAGCACACGCTTCCCAAGCTCGAAGGATGGGTCCTCTGCTAGCCATGTGGTAAGAGCATCGATGGACATGGCGAAGTCGGCACGGAACGCACTTGGATGTTCGTTAAGTAGGAGCTCCTCCATCAAGCTAGACAGCATCTCTACTGCGGCGACACGTCGTTCTTGAATGGCCTTGGCGATAGTCGTGTTCAGGCGGTGCATATCCATCAGGCTAACTTCCATCAAAGCGACCATGACTGTGGACTTGAAAATCCTGTCGTCGTCGTGTAGAGTCGCCAACCACATAAGTACCTGCCGCGAAGTCTGGACAGACAATTGGCAGAGATGACTTAGCAGATGCGCCATGACCTCGACCTCCAAGCGGCTCAATGAGTCGGAAAAGAGATGGTTAGTGACTTGACCTGCGATGCGGAAAGCCCAGGTCTCCTTGTTAGGACCCGCGTACTCAACACTTGTGATGAGCTGGTCGAAAACCTGGTGAACATTGCTGCTACCAGGCTGAAGTTCGCTGATACGTTCCTCTGGCGCCTCCTTGATAACGCGAGTCAGTTCGAGCAAAAGATCCTCAACACCACGCTGGCCACGCTCCAGGCCTGGAGCTTCCATGTAGCCGTTTGGTTGTTGTTGTGTCAAAGGTGCATGAGGGGCTTGAAGACTCTGTAGCCGGGCTTGCTGTGCTGGTTGGCGTGGCTCTGCTGGTGCAGCACCTGGAGTTGGGAGGTTCGGTACCGCTGCGAACTGGTCTTGGAGGACGTCTGGAAGCTGACGTCCACCGTCTTGGGACGTGTTGTTCGTGTGCGGAGCACCTCGTGACTGTCTACCGAAATCTTCGTAGATGGCCAGCTGCTCGCGATTCAGACCACCAGGCATCTGCTTGTATGGTTCAGGGATATAGAATGCCCATGGGCTGATGTTTGCATCCTTGAATGGCTCATTCGGACGAGAGCTGCGGAACATTCGGCGAATGCGGACTGCTTCCTCGATCTGCATGTCAATCTCCGCAAGAGACGACATTTCAGCGGCCTGCTCAACCGTATTGCAGACGAGGTCAAGATTGTCGTTCACGAACATGATGATATGGCCCTCTGGCAGCGCTTGGTCGGGAAGGTCTCTAGCTGTTACACGGATGTGGTTTTGAATACTCATGCGTAATGGCTCCTTGCAAGTAACAAGGGCCAAGGCACCAGAAAGAGCCTTGACAACAGTGTGTGCTGCATTGCGAAGCTTCTCCTCGTCGGGTTCCATAGCAAAGTCCTTGTTGATCAACTGCGATGTTGAGATGGCGGCAATAGTGACAGAGCGCTCTACTACCGGAGCGATGATCTCCTGGATGGCTTGGTTGACAGCAGTAAGGAAGATCTTCTTCAATGCCGCTGGAGGGACCGCGCTGTTTCCAGAGGGCGGGTACTGGAGCTGGTTGGTGAAATCGGGCAGAGCTGCCGTGATTGCCGCTGACGAGAATCGTTCGTTCGGACCTCGGGCGCCACGGTTCAGGCCCATAATCGAGAGATCACTGAATGCTTCTAATCCTTCAGGAACCATGGATCCAAGGAACTCTTCATCCGTTGGGGGTCGTCCTCGGATACTGTTTGTGGGCTCAATTTCCTTGTGGTCAAGCTCTAGACCTTTGCAGAGAACTTCGATCTCGAATTTCTGGTTCAACTTTAGGTCTGCAAAGTGGTAAAGTTCCATAAGAACTCCCAGCATCTCCATGATCCAAGGATTGGGAGGCCTGAAGATGGAAGACTTGGCAGCTTGTACAAGCACCTTGCAGGTGAAAGGAATGACAAGAAGAAGGCGATCAGTATCGTAACCCTCATGCAACAAGTCCTTGAATGAGATGTTGCGGAATTTGATCGGCTGGTCTCGGGCAATAGTCAGTGAACCAAGCCAAGAACCCAGATTCTTAAGATGGCCACGCTCCGTAGAACCCAGCGTGGAGTCAGTATTCAGCATACGGATGACGCTCGCGTACGTCTCACGGAGCACCTCAGCCCAAAGTGTCTTATCGTTGAACAGGTCGAGCATGTCGAGGTAGAGTTGCTGGAAATTAGGCTGCATTTTGGCGCGCTCCTCGACAAGATAGTTTGCGAACCACTGGTGATGCCTCTCTTCGACGGCTTCGGTGAGATCGCTGATCTTGTCGCGCAAGTTGCGCTCGGAGACGTTGTTCAATACGAACAGAACTTTGTCTTGAACGTCTTCGTCGGGGTCCTCGTACAGCTCTGGGCGGAGTGGGGGATCGACGTAGAGGCAGCTGAACTTGGGTATGGCCGGCTCCTGGTGGAGAGCATCATCGATACCGTTACCGTTTGTCAATCCCACACCGTTGTGACCATCGCCGTTAACTTCGCCGACTTGCTGAC